ATATATATACACACATATATATGTATCATACAACCACATATAATTGAATACATAGTACATACATTAGGATATAGAAGGAGGTTCTGGAGCAGATGAAGACCGCCACATGCCACGACAGAACCTCAGCCGACTGTTTGTTGGCCACAACGCCATCTTGTATGCATAATTTGTAGCACGCGGTCATAGCAATAACACTAGAGATGCAGCACGATAGCGCAGGAGCAACAGAGAGGCAGATGTGCTGGAACTACCATTTGGGTTTGGATATCTTGGCAGACGGAAGAGGAAAGCCGCATGTGACGAGGATGAAGGAGTCGTTAGTCCGTACTGTACAGATCCAAAGCAGTTCTGATCGCTCTCTGTCGGTCGTACTAACGGTGTACGTATGGTCGCAATACAGGTTGGTACGTGCTAAGTAACAGGCAATTACACACACAAGCAACATATATTATCTAACAATATCTAAGACATGATGCTGGAAGGATTAATGCAGTCCTGGTTTGCAGCCGTCAGCTTTCCGACACATCAAGAAGCCCCAGACGCAGAAACTGCCATGGCAGACGCGCAGACTACAGCCAGCCGGACCAGCTACCTCACGAATGCAGTCGAGGCCCTATTTGGGCATGCTGGCTCAAGGGAAATGGCCTCAAAATGTGTCAACAAGACCCTCAAATCTGGTTGGAAGCTGGTGACACATGACAGCTCAGGGCACCTAGCCTCCAACAAGCCCTACCGGTTCATGGTCCTTCGCTACTTCCAGTGGGCCGAGCTGGTGTCTATGGGGATCTTTGAGCAGCAGGTGACGCCCTCCACATTAGCAGAAATGCAGGGTGCTGACGGAATTTGGCATGCCTCTTGGCTGCATTGCTCCATGAGAATACTCGCACAGTACACCCCTCTAGATCGCTCCAGAAATGGTTCATTGCCCCAAGCATGGGCATGAGATTTCTTCTTGCGCTGCAGGTCGTCATCCGTGATTTCCGCTACAAGCCCGAAGGCGCACCTAATGTGGTCAGCACATATTTCAGCACCCATTTGGACCTTGTGTCTGCAGCGGTACAGGAAAAGTTCGATCTGCTACAGGAGGACGACGACCCGCGGTTGATTGAAGCTGCGCTTCAGGAAGAGGACTTCCGGCAACTGCTGGAGGACTATTTTATGACCGGCGACACCTCAAACGCGAAATTTTACAAAACTCTCGCCACACTGAGCTGCTTGGGAAACTTGACTTTGCTTCACTTCTGCGACTCTGAAGCAGTTCAGTATAGTCGGCGTGCTTTTCATCGATGTGGAGTGGGTTTCGGTGACGCATCGGAATTCCGACAGGCTCACCAGGTCTAATTGTTGATTTGATGGGCCGAGGGTTGACGGATGCAAGGACATGGAACAAAGACTCAAAGCCCCACCGCAACTTCCATGCCACACAGCATCTCATGTTAGAGTTCTGGTTCCGCAACGCTTGCTAGCAGTAGCGCCAACCACACCTGAATCCGGTCTCCGAGTATCGGCGGGTCGCAGCAACGTAATCCTTAAACGTCGGATCGCCTTGTTAATAGATCCCTTTGTTAAAAAACTGATTCGAACAGTCTCTCCGTTGGCAAGGCTGCGAACACGGATTGTGCAAGTGCGTTGAGTTCCTTCTACATGGGTATTGCAGCCAGACGGCCGAACATCCTTGGCTGCAGCTTGCTGATCCCTTGTGGCAGGAGCGCACTTGGGGAAATAATGCGTTCTCCATTGCAGCATACAGAGGTGATGAGAAGCTCCTGCAAATCCTGTGGGCCTGGGCAGAACAGCATGACCGGGTTGGCCGCGTGACGCAGTCGAGGACGAAAAGCAATCAGAGTCTTATAGAGATCATTGAGGAGCGACTGCGAAAAGGTGGGTCCAAGGGAAATCCCAGAGCAGCTTTCAATGTAATTGCCCCAGCTTTCAACAGAAGCATGTTGGATGCCGGCATCCAAATCCAGAGCAGCACACCGGAGTTGCCGAAGTTGGTTATCGATGCCAGCTTGGAACGGGAGAGCAGATCAGCCACGACGCCGAACAGCCGGCAAATGATCCCTCTCCAGGCTTTCGAAAGCTCCGAGTTGTCACTGGCCTCCTTGGCACAAACACTCGAGGAATGCTCCGGAAGATTGGAAGGCAAGTCCCTTCTAATCTTGAATGCTTCTTTCAGCAGGGGCACAGAAGACGACATGGACCGCTTGATGAAAGCAGTCAGCTCCTGCTACCGCGTCGCTGTCAAAGGTTGCAGCTCAAGCCCGGAGACCTGCATAGGCCTCGGGCGTGCTGTCGTAAAGAGGCTACATGAAGATCCACCTCCGTCATGGAGGTCCATCGATCTTCTCCCTCAGTGGAACGAAGCCCCATCCAGGTCGTCACCTGTGCTCACAGAGTTCGCAGACACCCTGGAAGCCCTCCTTCACGCTGGCCTGAACTCGCGGAACTTGGACTTCCAGTTTGAGCTACCTGCGCGGGCTGGTCGCTACCTGCCAGAGGACAGATTCGCGCTGAGGGGACTGGCCAAGCTCGCTTTCACGCCGAAGAGGCTTGCTTACAGCTTGATCGAGAACCCAAGCCGTAACAAGCAGCTCGAAAGGAATCTCTTGGCCAATTTCAAGGCATTCAACCCACTCCTTTGTGCTCCAGCTTACCTGGAGCGAGTGCTGCTCCCCAAGGAAATCCTCCTGAAAGTCTCGGAAGTTGAGCCAGCCTTGAACGCGTCATGGGTGAACTTCGTCGAGCGCATCGTGCAGATCTGGATGGGACAGGTCGCAGCGCTACCACAGTGGGCAATGACTTTGCAGTTTCCTGCTGCCAGAAAGCAGTGGGTCCTGGGCCAGATAGTACAGATGGTGGATGGAGCCGTTCTTCATTTCGCCAAGATGCTTGGCGCTATGGCAAGCAACGCTTTGCCGTAAGCCGCAAACGCGAAGAACTCCAGACCCGCCTTAAAAGTAAACCACAGTTAGCTTCAGTTAACCTTCCGTGGATTCGCATCCGGCCTTCGCTGAGGATGCGGCCCCGAAAGACTCGCCCCGGGCTGTCTGGCATGATCCCTGCTCTCCACCGCGCTCTGGAGAAATCTCCAGGATGGCCGAACATGCTCCCCAAGACGGCGAACTATCTCCAATCCGTCGGATGTGCAGCAAATGTGCAACATCCCGTCCCTCGGACATCTATGGCCGAACTAGAGTTGTGAGATTGGCCGACAGTCCGCCTCTGAGGAGCACGTTGCGGGGGCAACTCCGACAGCCCCAGTTGGATCAGAACCTCTCGAGCCTGGGGAGGTTTCTGCTGAAGCAAGGCTGCCGGGGTCGGGTTACCCCGATGGACCCGCTTTCCTTGGTCTGTGGCAGCGGGTAGCAGTCTGAGTGAGTACGACATCAGGCCGGATGCTGTCGAGACGTCGGCGCAAAGTTCAGCGGCTTGCCATCATCAGACGGTCGAAAGCTTGTGCTTGTTGCCGGCCAATCAGGAGAGTTCAGGCTTCCAAGTCAGGCTACTAAGTGTCCTGCATCTTCTTTTCGATGTATGTATAAGTATCCAGAAGCTCGATATTGCGCACGCTCTTCAGGATTGGGTGCTGCTCACCTTCAAAGGCAGTACCAACGTGATCCGCTCGACCCTGCTACACGACCCGACAGAGGAGCAGGCACCCATGGGCTTCCACAACAGGTTCACTCATGCTCCTGCCTAAATACCTCGTGGATTTCATGAGACTCGCACCTCCGGTGGCAACCATCCCCGCGTCAATCAGCAGTTCTGTGACCACCATGTACAATGACGTCAATAATGGTATGGTGATCTGCGTAAAACAGCAGCTGCGACCGGTACAGCATCTTGATGCGTTGTTTGAGTGCGTGTCTCTCCGTCTCTTTGTCTGCTTGCCTGCCTCTCTGTCCGCCTCTCTATCTGTCCGCCTGGGTGTATTTGTGCCAGTACGTTTGTTCGAAGTATCCTATCCAAAGTATGTCGTACTATGACATTGTTTGCATTTTTTTGCTACTATGACGAAGCTTCTCGTGGGTGTTTCTGTTATCATTATACTTGAGGTGTTTAGAGTCCGGCGGCTCTCGCCGCAGTTCCGACAGGATCTCCTGATGCTTCGGCAGGCCGCCCAAGAAGCCGAGGCCGGGGCGCGAACGTCAAATTGGGTAGTTCTCTAAATAAGGGTCCCTTTTTAGGTCCCAAGTATTGTGCAGCACCCTTATAAAAAGGACCCCAAAGGGGACCCTGATTTAGAGAACTACCTAAATAGGGTCCGTTTCAAGATGCGGTGTTGGGTCTTTTGGGGTTGTGACGGTTACTGAGGACTCGGGACTATAGTCTGTCTTACAGGGTTGCAGGATGCAGGCAGAATTCAAGTTCTCCGGGTGTGAGCTGTAGTGCTTGGCACGCATCGGCTGCGAATTGGGCTTGGCAGCTTGTCACTTGGTTTGCAAGCTGCGGTCTCGAAGTGCCCAGCTGCTCAGTGTCGTCGGAAAACGAGTTGCAGCCAAGACAGAGCTGTTGATCAAACAGAGTCAGGAGTCACAGGAGTTTCATCGGAGCGCTTGAGGCTGCTCAGAGTACGAGGGGCACTTGCAACGAGAATCGTCGCTGCGCATGAGCAGCCCACTGTGTTAGATTACACAGGCTTTGACAAGTTGCGTCTGCTGAACCTGTAGGCAGCACAGAAAGACGGCCAAGAAAGTAGAACCTCGAGCTCTGATGTCATGAGCTTGGTGCGAGGACGTTGAGGACCTGAGCTGGACCAGAGGAGCAGGGTCTTTGGCCATACAGGTTTGTTGAAGGTGGGCCGAGTGGGGCCTTGAAACATGCAATCCCTGAGAGTTCGTAGGAGCTGTGCTACTTCTACCAGCCACGGACTTCGAGATCGCGAAGCCGTTCGGGCTCAACCACGACAAGCTAGTTAATTACCGGCTTACTCACACGCAGAAGATAACACGGCTTTCGAGTTGTCCAGCCAAGTGCGGACTGCCGCGGCTGATCCGGCAGCAGGGCCTGTGATTGTTCATTTGCAGCTGTGAGCACGGGCTGAGGAGACTTCATACGAGATTCCTATGCAGAGGTATGTAATGGCTTTAGGTTCGACTCGGGTTCAGTGCTTGAGAATTTCGTATGCCTCTTGGTGGTTTTCAGCATGCAGAAAGCCACTCCAGCCACATGCCGTGCAGGTATACTTGGTCCGGTGTAGGCCTAAACTCGGAGTTTCTTCCAACTTGATCGCCAAGGAAGATCCTGGAGCAGTGTGATGATGAGCCTTCGCATAGGCGCAACCAGGTGCGATTACCCAAAGAGCCCTTCGGGCGGTCCAGATTTGTTAAGGCTGCTTAGGAGTTTAGGATTCAGGGGCGTGGGATTTGTCGACTCTTCGCGGAAGGACATGCAAATTATGGCGAGGGGTGTGGGGTTTGAGAGTTTTAGACTTTTGCATGTTCTTTCCGATGGCATCTCTTCGGTTGTCTGGTCATGGAAAACTTGGGAGCAACCGCTGCAAGCATCAGTCCCATGGAGGTGCTCACGCAGGTCTCCTTCGAAGGGCTGGTGGTGAAGGTCTTGACGCAACTTCCCTGCAGGCTGTTACAGAACAGATCTAGTACACCATCCACGAACGCTCTCTTGCAGAAGAATCCGGTGCCCCAGATACAGCGTCGCTGTGCACATGCGTGCTAAGCCTTACTTTTGCTGCAAATCCCACCCACTCAAATCGGGTACGCTTCTCAAGCACAAGAACGGGATCCATTCGACCCTTTCCGGTCACCGTGCTCCTTGATCTTTCAAGATTTGGACACAGAACGGGTCAGTTCCACTCGCGGCTATGAAGGGCGCAGGAACCGCATCAGTTGGAAATCTCTAGCTAGCCAGTGTAATGCAGACCCACACAGCCCACGAACCCTAGGAGCAAGCATAGATTCACAGGCAAGGCAAGACTAAGTCTGAGAAGAAGCCGAATCGCAGCAAAGAACTAGAGCTTGAATGCTCAGAAGCATGCTATAACTCTATAACATAAAATAGAAACAGTGCGCAGCCGAGAAGCTTGCCCGAGTCGCCCTCAAGCTCCTCAGACGCAGTGCCACGGAACCGGGCAGGAAGCGGCCGAAGCTGGCAGGTCGTTCCCGGACAACGGCCTCCTCCTGCGACGAGGTCTTCTGGAGTACAAAGGAAGATGTGTGCCGGGGGTGGCGGGTGTGCGATTATGTCAAACACGCGGGTTCAGACAAGCAGTAGCTTCTTCCGATTAGGAAGCCCTCCCCGAATGTAACACCCAATTGAAGGGGGGCATTTGCCCGGAGCGCGCGCGAAGAGGAGGGACCACCAAGACTGCAGTATAATATAGGGTCTGTTAGGGAGACCGTATTTAGCACGGGGATCTTTTAGGAGTAGGGGTCTGGGGACCTATAATTATCAGAATCGGGAGAAGAGTAACCGTATGTATGTGATTACTCTCGTTTGTGTTGTTTGTCGTATCATGTACATCAACCGATGCGCAGATGTCTGCCAACCTGTACGAGAGAGAAACAGAGAGCTTGCTCTGAGAATGTCTCGGTCTCGGGTTGAAGGGCGAAGTCTGGTTAGGGTGTCAGGCTCAAGGTTGGGATCCCGGTACTACCATACTCCAAAGTTGCTTTGGCGCGCTTTTTTTGCAAGAAGCATGTCCATGGCTCACCCCAGAACGGCACCTTTTTTCACCTATCCCTGACAGCTTCTTGCATGCAAGCTGAAGCCGGCCGTTCAGAAGCACGTATTTCCATGGCGCTCAAATCCCCCACCCAAGGAGGACCGCTACTTCTCTAACAATCGTCATAGCACAATTAAATTTCTCAGTAGTAGGAATCCCAATCGAGTATGATGCCTACGCGATTAGCTTGAGCTAGCAATTGCGATAGCGACTGCAATGCAGACCTCCATGCAGGCACCAGCGAGACAGTTCGCCTCTTCCGCCAACTGCGCCCCGCTTCCGGAACTGCCGTCGGTGGAGCTGAAGGACTGTCGTAAGGTTTGGGCCTGTTGAAAGCAGGGTTTACATACAGGTGTTGAGGTGTTGGCTTCCTGAATTTTCTCGGGATTTCTTAAGGGGCTTGCAGTGCTCTGAGGGCGTTGGGTTTCAGACTGTAGCAGCTTTGGATTTCTGGGTTTGGGGTTGAGCGCCGCGGTCAAGATTTTAGGACTGCTGCGATACAGACGGGTCGACGATGCACTTATGCAGGAGCGAGTGGTTGTGAAGCGAACCTTCCTTGACATCCAGGGCGACACGGCAAGCGAGAACAGTCTGGTGACCCAAACAACAGGCGCGCGGTTGCTGATAAATCCCCGGCGCAAGCTGGGCCGTGAAATTCACTAACTTCCGTTGACACGAAGCTCCAATCGCTCAAGTTTTGTGGCTGATCTGTGCATTGCGCCTGGATGTCGGCGTTCTTGCCCACATTCAGAAAGCGACGCATCGAAAAGCCGGAATTGTACAGCAAGCACAAGGCCCGTGCATCAGAGGTTGCAGGGCCGTCTGTGTCTGGTTATGCAATCACCTCTGAAGCTCGCTCGATCTCGCCAAATATCCTTCAAAGAACAACAGCTATAGTACATATCAATCACCATCTTGGCTGCTTTGTGCATACTGTTAGCCGGCTTTGCTCAGCAAACGCATCACGTCCGCGTTCTTGCGCACGGTGGTTGCAGTGTGCTGCGAGCAAAGAGTCTTTGCTGTCCCCGACCGATACCTGGACTGGAGAAGGGAGGAACACCCCGCCAAGCCATGAATGCTGCAAATCCATATTGCAAAATGAGAGACTTCATAGTTGAAAGTGCCGAATTGTAAGACCCTGTTACTGGTAGCATGGGATGTCTCCATGGTCGGGGACAGCTTTGCAGGTCGAGCCACAGGCTTTCAATGCGGAGAAACAGCTTTGTGGAGAGGGGTAAGTTTGGAAGACTTGGTTGACAGTTGATGGGTCGAATGTTTGTTCCTGGGATGAGGAGTCTAGGTTTGCTAGTCCCACATGGGATCGCATTAAGGGTCCTTCGTTTCAGTTGTGTTCTATCGAGGCCGTCAAAGAACAGTGTAACTGGAATTAACTGGAATGAGCATCATCCTTGCGCACAAGCAAATTCGCCAAACCCACCGTCGCGACTGCCGGACAGAATCCCTGAATCATCCGAGAGAGATCGATCTGCCTCGAGTTCTTTTTTTAAGAGACTGTAACATCAGCAATGGTTCGTACAGCCCTGTGACCGCTGGAGTCCGCTGAAGTGGGTAGTTGGCTTGAGCCCCAAAACCAGACACCAGCTGAAACCCGGAGCACTTATGGCCGCCATAGCAGTGACCCAATCAAGCATGAATCCCCTGCCACGACCCTCCGACTAGGGATCCACCTGCCTCCAGCATGACATCTTCCAGCTTCCCAACTGCGACCCGACATGCTGCTCAGCCACGGAGGGTCGGAAAAGCCTCCCAAACTCAGCTTCTGATACCCTGACACAATCCTGGAACCCCCCTTGCCATGGCCAGCGATGGGAGCGCTGCCATGGCGGCGGTGGGGTTCCACCGCGGGGTGCCGGAGGAGTCGAGCTTTTTGGTATTTTTTGACCTCGACTCTTTTGTTCTCGTACTGTATAGTAGTATAGAGCTCAGATTGCAGGGATTGGGTCTGAGTGTCTCGCTTGCGCGAGGGCCTGGAGCCGCGAAAAGACTGCAACAGGTGGTGATGCTCGCAGATGCCCTCAGTTGTCAGTCGTGGCCTTCTGCCCCTCCTGGTCGGGTCCTGCTCGGGTGATGTCTGCTCTGCTGATGGCACAATCGACCCCCAGACCTTTGCCCCACTCTCGCATGCTTTCAAAGCCGGCGTCGACATGTGGATATCTCGATCCTGTTCCGAAGGACGAAGGCCTCGATGGCAAGGCCTTTGAAGCCCATCGCCACAGAATCAAGCAGCACTTGGATCCCTGGTGGCAGAGCAGAGAAAGAGACAGAGACAGAGAGGGAGAGGGAGAAAGGGAGAGAGGCAGAGAGAGGAGACCTTGAGACCTGCAGGGCATGCCTTCGCATTGGGAGGATTCGTGCGAAGTTCCCCTTGTCTGCGCTGATGCAGAGAGACTTGAAGAGAAGGAGATCCTCCACGATGTCCTCCGGCACGGACAGTGTGCGACGTCGCTCAACGGTGCGCGCTTGCGCGCGTGCTTCGTCTGCTGCAGAAGAATCCACAGTTGGGGGTGCACTAATGCTATCGAAAGAAAGACAGGGAGAGACCGAGGGAGAGAGAGAGAGA